GGGCTGGGCCAGCTGGTGGTCAGCCTGCTCCGTCTCTGCCGCTTGCCAGCTACGCCTCGGCCGGCACAGGGGCGCGGCGCTCCCGGGCAGGGAAAGTCCTCGACTAACGACCGGTTGGGTAGTCCTCAACTTACGACCGGTTTAGTCCTCGACTTACGACCGGTTGGGGTCACGGCATTAAAAAGGTTGAGAACCACTGATCTAGCATTATCTGCCACCAACCCAGGCTGCACTCTTGTGACCAGTTCTTCCTATCAGAGTGCTGACAAACATGCTGTCAAACAGGCTTTGAGGATTTTGCACAGGATAGGTGTGTGCACTTTGTTGTCTGCTGCTGTTTTTCGAAGATGAGAGCTCTTCCAGGACTTCTCTGTTGGTTCCTTCAGGATCCTGGGATGTCTGGCCCTGAAGACCTGAATTTGTTTAAATCATCTCTCTCACCTCCCCTGCTCCCTCTTTCCCCAGGGGCATGGGATGGCCTCATGACACAAATGTAAAATAGGAGCCCTGCATTCTTACCACTTTCTACTTGCAAAGTTCTACAACCCCTTTTTTTTCTTCTAATGAGCCTCCAAACGCTTTTTTGTTGTTGTTTCTGATGTTATTGCAAATCTCAGTGCATTTAAGCCGTAGCCTTTCTTCCTGATGCTGGTCCTACAGCTTCTGGAGATGACCGTTGCATTTTTTTTAGTTCTGCGCCCTTCCTCTGTTTCTGCCGAACCTCCCTTTCCCCCTGTTATATTCACTTCATTGGCCTCTTCAGATTTCTTTCCTTCTTGCGGCTTTATGCCAGTGTGGTGGAATTGCTGGCTGAAGGGGGGGGGGAGTAAAGAGACGTTTCAGCTTAGAGCAGTGGTTCTCAACCTTTTTAATGCCACGCCCCCAAACAGTCGTAAGTCGAGGACTAAACCGGTCGTAAGTCGAGGACTAAACCGGTCGTAAGTCGAGGACTACCCAACCGGTCGTAAGTTGAGGACTTTCCCTGCCCGGGAGCGCCGTGCATGCGTGGTTCCGCCCCCTGCGCCGGCCGAGGCGTAGCTGGCAAGCGGCAGAGACGGAGCAGGCCGACCACCAGCTGGCCCAGCCCAAGGGACCCGCCGGAAAAGGGGAAAAAATGGCGGACAAAAAAAATGGCGGACAGCCTTGCTTGGCGACCCCCGTGAAATGGTCGATCGACCCCAAATGGGGTCCCGACCCACAAGTTGAGAACCACTGGCTTAGAGCAGTGGTAGCGAACCTATGGCACGCGTGCCAGAGATGGCACTCAGAGCTCTCTCTGTGGGCACACATGCCATCGCCCCAGCCCTGCCTCCCCCCCATAGCCAACTCCTCACCAGCAGTCCCCTTGGAGGAGAGTTGCCCCTGGGCACGGCCCGTGCAGAGCAGCGCAGCCAAGGATATGGCAGCCGGGTAGCGGGGACAAGACTCCGCCCTCGTGCTCCATCATGTGCAGATGATGCTGCAGGGCGCGATGGAGGGTGTGGCCACCATGGTGCTGCTGGGCTGCCTGGGTGATCTGCTGTGGCAGGCTGTGGAAGCAGTGGGTGGCCCTGTGGGCAGGCGGGGCACAGGGTGGCGGGCAGGGTGGCATTGGGGCACTCAGTCTCTAAAAGGTTCGCCTTCACTGGCTTAGAGTCCATGGGTGGGGGAACCCTGAGGTTGAACCCCGAGGTCTGCCATTTCCCAAGGGATGGCAGGCAGTCTGGCCAGATTCTAGCAATATAGGCAATCAACACTAAATGTCTACTTTAGCCTATTCACGGTTGGGGCAGGATTTGGAAAGCAGTTTTGTCTACCACTGAGGAATGCGGAGTTCAAAAAAGGGTACAATAAAGCGAGGAGGCTCCATGACGGGAGGGAGCTATAAGCAACGCGTGATTAAGAACCAAGCAGAGCATTTTGCCACTCATGAGATTTTGAATCATTCCATTTTTAAACATTCAACGTTATTGAATTTTCATTTCACGGGCACCCAGGTGGGGGCACGGATTGCTGGGCTGGGGGTCCACCGTGTGGCCCTCAACCTAAAGGAGGAGGCGGGGAGCCGCTCCCTTCACATGTACGGAGTGCCCTCTTCTTTCTCAGGTTCTTCTTCAGGTGTGACGACAGGAGGACTTGGGGTGGCCTGGTACTCCTCGCAACTTTTTACTGTTACTTTATGGATGTCGAAAGCAGGGAAGGTTGCCAAGTCCAAGTAGCACAAATATTTCTACAGGCATAAAAGAAATAAAGCAGACACGAGTTTGCAGAGCTCTTGCATGGAAGTTGGCCTTCATCTTTCCCAAAATCTCGACCTCCCTCTCCCTTTTTTTCTGCATCTCCATTACATCCAAAGGAAGCCTCCTACGTGGCTCTGTATTTT